ATTAACATATATTTAATCATTACTAAGTATATCGCTAATTTTTCATAAATACTTGTAGTAAATAAAAAGATAAATAAAAATTAAAATATTAAAATAATTAGTTATAAGTTTAAAAAAAATGTTTTCATTTTATTTAAATATTCACGTTTTTTATTTAAATTTTGGTTCAGCAACAACATGTTTAGTCAGAAATTCAAGGCTGAAGAAAAACTTTACGAGTCACCATGGAACATACGTTTTATCAATTTAATAATGTATTTAGTTGAACATATAAAGACAATTTTTAAAATTTTAATCATCGAAACTAAATTTTAATGTTTAATATGTGTGGTTTTTTTTTTAAATAAATAATCGTAAGCTGATTTTAAATCTCAATTATTTCTATTGAAACCAATTTAAGGTAAAAAAATAAAATCTAGAATTTTAACACAAAAAAACTTATTTTTGAATACGGTAGCCATTTTCAGTATAAAGGTAAACTAAAATTTAATTTTTTTTTTTTTATAATAAAGTATATTACGTTAGATTTAATTTAAGATATATATATAAAAGTGTCATTTTCAAAAGTTAAGTTGAAAAAGTTTTCCCCCTAAATGGGAAGGTAGATTTAAAATATACATATAACAAATTAAAGGATACAACAAAAAAATTGTTACTATTCTTCTATTTTTCGAAAAATTATTACAGTTTAAGAAAAAAAACTGAAAAAATGTTGAAAATTACCGATTTTTTATATTGTAATTTTTTGGTGGGTTTTCCCCCATTGACAATTGTTTATTTTAAATATTTGAAGGTAATTTTTCATACTATTTATAATTTGTAATCTTTTAGCGTATTGTTCATCAAAGTTGGTCCAGTTAGAACTGAGAATAAGTGTAACAGCCATAAAAAAACATTAAAATTAATACATTCTCAGTTTCGCACTGAAACTAAAAACAACAGAGTGAGGTATATAGTGAGGACGTGGCATACTTGGCACGAGTGTAGAAGAAATCCGTCTGTGATTGATATCACAATCATAAAAAATGTTTCGAGGCGAATCTGTTAAAATTCACAAAACTTTGTATACTTTTAATTTTACTATTTCTTTGTGTAACGTTACAACCTACTTTTTTTGTATATTTGTACACTCCCGTGAAATCATCAT